GGATGGGACCGCTTCACATTTGGAATTATGAGAAGATAGTGGACCTCCGTCCATGAACAATATACTAAACTTAAGCTGATCAAAAAGAAAGGTCATGCACATGCCAACAGGATAACATAGTGTCAAATTGGAATCAGTATTATGAGTAGGTTCCTGTGGAGGATGGTGCCGCTCCTACCAACATCTCGAAAAAAATATCCAGGGACCCAGGTAGAAGGGCCCCCAACTTTGCTCTCTTCTCCAAGAGTGAAGGAAACACTCAAACACTCTGGAAGAAATGTCTCTGTCCACCACCCCATTGACTGGAAACTGGGTGTGGTAAGGATTCACTAGCTCCACTAGTAGAATCTGAGAGGTAATGCACATTGGGGAGTCCTGAGGAACAGTGCTCTTGAAATAGTGCAATAGGTGAACCAAGTTCCCTATATTTTTAAAAGTAAATCAACCCTAATTTATTCAATCCAATGATTGTCATAGATGGGCAGGATTCCCTTTAGCTTTACTCCTGATAGTTCATGATAATATGGTAATACCATCTGTTAAGTGCCTAGATGGTCTCATGGAACATCTCATTTATACAGTCTGTTGAAACCAATAGTGAGTATAGTGAAATTGGATTACTAACTGCACTCCTGTCTGGGCAACACTCGCCACAGAGTGGGATCCAGTGAAAGCAAGAGGGGAACCATGGAAAATAAAGGGATGACAATGAAAAAATACTCACTCCTCCTTATAATCTAGCAGATGTTGTTAAAATGATCATGGGGTGGAAAAAACCCCAGAAGAAGAAAACTGCCAGATCATGTAAAGAATGTGAAAGAAAAGTATTGAGAGAAGTCCACCTACCAGCCTGTAAAATGTCCCCCAGTGGGTAAATGTAATGGGCAGTGAAATACATATAAATGTTCTGAAACTAATGAGATGTACCTCTCAGAAGATTTCTCACCTGTAAAGTCCAAATTAAGAAACATGGATATTTGTAAATCCACATTGTCTAAGGAATTTGGGATAAATATTAGGAAACTGAAGGATCCCATGAATACAGTCAAGAACTATTACCTGAAAGGAGTTTGTGTGAGCCACATAACACCTCTGGGCACTGATAGGACAAAACCAATGATTAGTGTACGATTGATTGTAGAGGGCAGAAATAGCTGGCAAAAGGATTGTGGAGAAGGATATATCCCCTTCCCTGTCTGCCAGAGACTTAGAAAGAAAGGGTATAGCAAGACCTAAGGGGAGAGATAAAGAGTCCTACACACATGCCAATAATTCTAACCTATGACATCAGCATAACAACATCAACAAAAATACCCATTAAGGGAAGGATAATACATGAGGCTAAGGACTTGAAGCATTGTCGAGACAAGATATGTAATACTGCCCTAATATCCCGGTTAATTAATTGAAAAGGTCATTTGGGAAGAAAATCTCAAAATGAATGGAGAAGGCTGGATAGCACTGGGGAGTCAATAACCTTCACACATTTAGAATAACAAATAGTAGTTGAAAAAGTTGGCTGACCTAAACAACAGGAGATAAGCTAGACCCAAGTGAAAAACAAGGTCAAAACAAGTTATGGTGGGCATGTTTGATAAAGTGGGCAAAAACTCATTGTGAGGCACACACCAGGAAATTTAGACAATAATTGGAGGCCTGAACTGAGAGCAAGTCCATCAGAAAAACTCATAACGGTGAATCAATGTTAGGCCTGAGACGGACAATCTGCTATGAAAGTTATCACCCCAGAAAAATGGCAAGCCAGGAGGCTGATATGATCAGAATGAGTCCCGTTGAGAAATAACAAAATTTTGAAAACAATAACCCTGAGAATGCATGTCTCCATGATGGGAAATTTAAAAGACCACTGTGGAATTGATGAAATGCCTCATAATGGTTTTCCCCTGCAACAGATCTAGACCTTGAACTATTACCTGATGGACAGCAAGAAGTTCTAAGTTACTGATGTGGAATGAAGATTCATCCTCCATTCATAACCTTTAATATGCATACCTCATCCCTGAAGTGAAGTATATGTGAAGAGATAAACTCGAGACAGAGGGGTAGTACATATACATATGCCAATGGTAGTGTTTATCCGAACCAACCACCACTCAAAAACTGAGATGTTGCTCCTGATGATAGACTGGATGATCCAGTGGATTGAAGTTACAGATCTATTACTTGTACCAGGACCACCAAAGGAATCATTGATTCGTGGGATGATCACAATCCCAAAGAGATAGGACAATCTCCGTAAGAGCCTGACTGCCCATTCCATATCCTGGAGTTGGATGGGAGGTGGCTGAGACCGGCTTAAAACATGGTGAAAAACTTGTAAAACCCAGTATATGAGATATGGTGCCAATGCTAGACCAAAGGCTAGATCCCTGAACTGCAGAGCCTGATGCATGTACATGAAACGTCGCTATAGACAGAATGAATTCACTATGAGAATATGGAGAAATGCCTCAGTAACCTCATATTTGGGAGTCCACGAAATTGGTGAAGAATGCCAATACAGGTTGCAAAAGGAATCCATTGTGGACCTGTGAGGATGGAAGAATGGGTTGAGATGAGAAAGAATGACAATTGTCTGCCAATCTCCCATTGTCTCATGCACAACAAATAAACAGAAATAAAATCCAAGAAGAATGGGATCAACATTTACTACCACCCCCATGACCAACAACTGATAGCTGAAGAACAAAAATCCACAACCCACTGTTCAGTTGGAGTTGGAAATGCCACAGGAGGGAAGGATAATGGAGGTGAAGAAGTGAATGGAAAGACCAACCTCGATACCAGAACCTGAAGTACCCATAGATCTGAAGTGATGGAATACCAGGTGCCCATTAATATTTGTAACCTTACTCTAACTGATCCCACCCACCTTGTGTACATACCAATGCTGTTCGCATTGGTCAGCCCAACTGGAAGATCCTTGAAACTAAGGCCTGCACCTATTCAGCTGCAAGAGCAAAAGAAAGTCTAGAGGTCAAAAGCAACAAATGGGTGATGCTGTTTCATGATACAAATGCCTCTGGGATGCCTGCAAATATCAAGTGAGGATAAAAAGAACCCACATGTAACTCAAAGAGTCTACAGCAGGTAGACAAACTCCCTCTACCAAGGTATCTCTATAATGAGGATCAAATAAATACAATAAAATGTGATCAAGCAAACCATCCAAAACCACACATATACCCCCCCCCCAAAAAAAAAAGACTTAGCCTGTGGAATCAAAATATATGTCCACCTAGCAGTAGAAAGCCAAAGCATGCAAATAGACAAATGAGGGTACAAGGTATATCTATCCCATCATGTAATAAAGCAGTAAATTTCCCAATATGAACTAGGAATATCAGGATGAAGGAGGAAAAAAACTAAACAGTACCCTGACCTTTCCACCCCCACCCCTCCATGCGAAAAGATATGTCATGTCAGATAAAAGAGGAGGAATAGGGGATGTTCTATTAACCTCCATACTGACTAGAGTAAGACGGAAATGCATACCCGAAAACATTGCATCAATTTTCTTTTAAGGAAATTATAATTATTCTGAAATTCACTAGGAATAGGGGATGTTCAATTAGCCTCCATGCTGACTAGAGTAATACGGAAATGCATACCCAAGAACGTTGCATCAATTTTCTTTTAAGGAAATTATAATTATTCTGAAATCCACAAGGAACCACGAAAATAGCAATCCATAATGGAACAAAGCACAGCACTTCATGAGAGAAAACTGTGGCCCACACTTTGTCACGAAAAAGTGATTACATTATCTTAGTTAGTTGCTTATATACAGTACCATAACAGAAGGCACACTAACATGGATGGAGAGTTTTGCAAGTTAGATATTGCCAAGGGCATTTAAGTGGGGTATAAAAGACTGGAGCAAATGAGACCAATGCTTAGAAGGGCAAAGCGAATGTTGAGAAATAGCTATTGTTTCAGGGGATGGTAAGAATGTTTTAGAAATGGCCTTTAACAGACGGAAACCCATTCAAAAACTTGACTAATGAAAACGATCTTCAAATAGTTGTAGATCTTACACTCCAGGCCATTAAAGCAATGCTCTATTACAAGTATTAAATGTTAATAAAAGTTTAGGATGTATTTATAGACATATTGATTACAAGTTAAAAGGGGTAATTATATAAAAAAATCACTAATTAGGCATAGCACAGAACAGTAATTAAAGTTATGGCATCCTTATACAAGAAATAATATTAACTTATTGGAAAGGGTTCAGAGAAGATCTACTAGGATGATTACAAGATTGATGGGTTATCTTACAAGGATAGCTTAAAAATCCTTAATTTTATTTCCTTTCTAAAAAAGAGATTTAAGAGGTAATCTTATTGAAGCTTACAACATAATCCAGGAAATTACTAAAATAAAGACCACAGATTTGTTTTGCTCTATTTTGAAGATAACTGGTATGAAAGAACACAAGTTCAAGATTTAGAAATGAAAGGCTTAGCATTGGTTAAGACAGGTTTGTTTATATGTTTTTTTCTAGCTTAAGAATTAAATTGTAATTGTCAGTAATAGAACCAGTACTTCACAGTATATCAAGATTTGTTTGTATTTAAGCACAAAGCTGTGCTCTACCCACTATGAGTATCAAAACTTTGTTTCTAGTGGTATGTCTTCAACCATACCGCTATGCCACTGAGAGACAGAAGTTTAAGAGACAGAATCAATGAAAAAAATAGAGTAGATTAAAATTTTAACATTTCTCAAGGTTGAGTGTACAAAGGTAGCCTTAAACAGGCAAAGAGTCTTGTTTCCTATACCTTATGTTAAATGCAACCTAAAAGGTGTGGTTTGATTCAAATATACCCTTGGAAATCAAACCTTCAAGAATTTTACAATACACTATTACAACATAGGTTTAATACTGAAAAGTACAGGTACTCTTTTTATTGTAATAATAATAATTCACATTATTCACAGATAATATCTATTGAAATAGAAATAATAAGGCTTACTTCAAGAGCAGCTTCTTGGCCTATGTTCAGAGTTACAGATGTGTTTTCGACAAGCTTATGATGGCTACTGATGTCATCCTTATGTATATAGCAATTATGACAGAAATCCACCACTTGACTCTTTGAAGAAGCCTATAAAATAACAATTTGCAAAAGTTATTGTTTTTCTACATTGAAAATAAACTTCTGATATACATATATATATATTACCTATTCTCACATAATGGTTGTTCTCAATTATTATTGCCCTCTTGTATACACAAATATTGCTTGCCACTAGTCTTGATACTCCCACCTACCTCCTCTTGTTGAATGTGATACAGCTGCATTGTAGCATGCAAATGAGTTTGCAACAACCCTCCACCAATATGAGTGTGGCACACTCTGACTCCTTCCATACTGTAGAGCCCAATCTTCACATTAAATTAGGCACGAGAAGTGGATAGGAAGGGTGGTAAGCATAAGTGGAGATAAGTATCTATAGGAAATACAGTTTTAGTGTATAACTTCTCATACAATACCTTACTTCATCTCACATAACAGTTATAATTCCACACTGACTGGTGTAAGAATTAAATAGATGAGCCCCCTTCATAAGGTATCCGAAGAGCACCCATTAAGTGTGCTAACACTATGGAGATAAAACACAGTGGGGTGGGAAACCAAACCACATCTGAACAAGATATACTCTTTGCCTGTGATTAACAAATATGTTGCTAAATGGGGGGGGAGAAGAGGCACATCCAATAATAACATGGAAATGTCCTTGGTGTAGAGTGGCTAGAGCATATTGGACCATAAGTGGGAGTTTTACTTCAGTCCAAAACTAGAAGGTTAGAGAACCCCATGTTCCAAGAACCTAAGCCATCACGTGCAAAGATCCAACACAACCCACAGTAGTATCCTCGAAAATTAACTTCTGAATATAGTATGAAAATGGAAAAGGAACATGGAAAGTCAACTCTGGTCCAAAAAGCATGTGGCATTGAGGAATGTATTGCCCAGTTCATGGTAGGAGGGGAGTCCCAGCCCATTCAAATGTGAGGAGTTATGCTGGCTGATCCAGCTCTGACCAACAGCAGTCACAGGGACATTTCCCAGCCAGAGGAGTGTACTGCAGAATGACAAAAAAATCCAGTCTAGACTCATTGGCATCTGGCATATAACATCAAACCAGCAGCAGGATATCCATTCTTTCTACATAAACAGAACACCACTGCCCTACTCTTAACTTAATGGAATCGAGCACACTCAGGAGGATACCTTCATGGTCCACCACTCCAATGGCTAGGAGCTGGTAAGTAATAAAGACTCATGAAATCCACTATAAGAAGGGAGAAACATGCATTATAGAGTTCAGAAGAACACAACACTGGAAAAAATCCAATAGGTGACCACAAAATCCTATTCTTAAAAGTATACCATCCCCAATTAATTCAATCACACGGTTGGCAGGGATGGGCAGCAATATCCTTTTGCTTTAATCATGTCAGTCCATGAGTGTATGGTCTAGTATAAACATACTTATGAAGCAATACACCACAAGGAGAAGCCTAAGGCAGTTTTGCAGAACACTGGCTGAGATGAAAACTGCATGACAATGAAATAGTGAGACACAAACATAAGAGAAATGATCCATTTGCTAACCTGGATTATCTCTCTCAAAGAGTTCTGACCAGACACAGGAGGCAATATAGATCAGAATGGGAGGAGATATAAGGAAGAAATGAGGGCAAAATTACCATCACAAATAGCAAATGTCCTTGGGAGCAAAGAACAATCAGGTTAACCCTATAACAATGGACATCCTTTACTGTGCATGTCATAGAGTTTTAGTGACTTTCATTCAAAATTTTATTTATCTACTTTTGTTTATGTTAGTATAGCATAACATCTAATCTAATAATCCATATTTTAATAGTATATAAATTTTAGGTTCTTAATTTTATATGGCAATATTTTAAAAAAATTCTGGACTTCACCTAGTGTGATACATTTTCTCTATGCATCAATGCATCTTCTCTTTTATCCACCACCCCTCCAATAAGTATCAAATTAAATGTAAATTACTCACTATAAAGTTATTATTGCTCAGACCATATTTTAAAAGCCTTCAATTTTGTTCGGTGACAGAGCAATCGAATAGAAAATCAGACCCCTCTTGCCACACCCACCTATCACATCCTCTCTTTCAGGATTTATTAATAGTTCTCTTATGTTTTATTCTATGTTATCTGTAACCAAAAGAAAGCCAAGGTCTGAATCTATCAAATGACGTATTGTATGACGTTCTTTACTGAATATAGAATTATCAAGTTCACTGTTAGTACAAATTTTGTTTACACAGGAAAGATAACGACTTGCTAGGATGAATTTGTAACAGCTCTTTTCACATAGTTAGAAAGCCAGAAAAATTGTGAGTGTTAGGAGAAATTGTCTAATTTTTACATGTTATTAATCTATGTTCTTTGGTACATTATTTAATTAAATAAAAATTATTTAGTGCATTACTACCATTAATATAAAAGAAGTAGAGTTAAGTGTCATCAACGATTGACAGCAAGAAAAAAGAAGATTCGGGAAAGTACTTTATTTCATGTTTTTTATGTTTATAATTTTTTAATTTATAATTATAAAAGTCACTAAAATGTAAAAATAGGTATCTCTTTAGGTTAGTTAAGGTTAGAGTAAGTAAAATAATAATAATAATATAATAAAAATGTTTCACGAAGCATGCACATGAGCATTTCTTGGGTTACATAATTTGATAGCATAATGTGACATCCATGATCCCCAAGTGATTTACAACTTATAGTGCCATGAATAGTAGTTAGACACAATTCAAAGGACAATAAAATTTAATTATAAATAGATGTATATTGTTACAATTTTAAAGTTACTTAGGGTAAATGAATGTAGTTTCATGTTACAATTTGAAGTCATTCTAGAAAGAAAAGGAGGGTAATTTAGATTTATTTAGATTTTTTTGGGGAAGGGGGTTATGAGGTCGGTAAAATTGACCAATGTTGTATAGAGTTTGGGTAGAGAAAATATCAGATAAAATATAAAGTTTAAGTGAAAACAAACATTTGAAATGTATTTAGGAGGTTTTAGAGAATACACAAATCAAATCTGAGATAATTGAGCTGATGAAACGTAGTTTTAATCTTAACATGAAAATCACTTTGCACATGGACTATTCAAAACAAATGCTCTATATATTCACAGACAAATCTATAGTAAAAATACTTCATTAAAAACTGATCTTTGGTGTACAAAATACTTGTAATGTGTACTAAAAGTCTGCCAAATTTTGTGAAGATACACACACTGTATTAAAAGTTAAAGTATTAAAACTATATACAAGTAAAAATGGTCTCATGGTCGGTCCCTGGGACCAACCCCATATTGAGAGAGTTAAAGGAAAACATAGGTGCTGTAGTCAAAAGTGTGAGTGACATCAAGGGTGAATATGTCTGACTGTTGACACCCACAGATCAACAGAAGGAGAAAATAGGTGTTGAATGAGAGGTGATTCAAGAAACAGGAAGCCAAGGGTGTGAATGTTGGAAGAGAAAGGGCATAGAGGACATTATGATTACAATCTGAGAAAGGAGTGCGATGCGAAGGATGATGGATATGAAAGGACCAAAATAAAAGAGAGAAAAAACAAACAGGAGAGATGAAGAAAGGAAAGAAATGGAAAAAAGGAAGGTTAAGGATAATGCTGTTCGAGAACCAGCAATGGTTTAAAAGGACAGACCATGGTTAAACAACCAAGAAAAGAACTTTAGAGAGATGAGGGATGGAATGTGTAGAAGGAAAGAAACCATGACAGGAAGACCAGCAGCAAAAAACATGCCATATTCACTGGTACACCAACACATACAAGGGGTAGACTGTGAGGGAAAGAAGTGATAATACCCATGTGGAAAAATTTGGAAACTCTTGCAAAGCCACATGTGATGTTGAGTGTGGGAATGGAAACTAATGGTTGCAAGAGTAGGGAAAAAGAAAGAGCAAAAGGAGTAGAAACTTGGAGAGGGAGGAGTAACAAATATCAAGGTTATGCATGCCAGAACAGAGCCATGAGAAGAACTTAGCACATACTGGTTTGAATGATTAAATGAACTCTGGGAGGAGGATGGATGGGAGTACATGCACAAATGTAGAGGTCCCTACAATTCTGATTGAGGACATTGAATGCCAAAACAGAGGGAGTTTGGTATTCAAATCAGTGGCAAACACATGCAGCTGGAGATTAACCAACTAAGAGCATATCCACCAAAAAAACTGTATGTCGAGGGACCACATCATGGAGAGAATTTTGTCAGGACAGGACAAACAATCCATGACAAGCACTCAGGATAATGATAAGCCAGCAAATAAAATTTGGTAGCAATGAGCCCAGAACAGGAAATCCAAAGTGTGAAAACATAGAGAACTGAACCAAGTGATTGCCCACTGATGTAAGAGACAATAGTCAAGTTGTTGGAATGAATCATGACTGTCACACTATTCAGAGCTGGTAGAAATGATTCACTGTCTAAGAAAAACCTATGAGCTCCAGAAGATTGATATGGAGAGTCAACTCCACTAAAGACCAATGGCCAGAGATCTCCTGGGAATTGCAATATGCACCCCTTCCCAACAGTAAAACATATGCAAAAAAGGTGTACATCTGGATGGGGAAAAGGAAGATGGGCATCAGCCATTGTGTTGTCCCTGTTCAGCCACCAGGCAAATTCATTTTACAAGGAAGGAGGAAATTTGGTAATCAAGTATACCCCCTGGTGAGGTTTCACAGATCATGAAGTACCTAATGAAGAAACTCATATGAGCATGGATAGGGGAATAAGGGCATTCCAAAAAAGTCCAAGAGAAAAAGAAACACTTGGACAAGGAGAAAAGGTGAGGAATGTGCCTTCTCAACTAAAAGCTCTCTAGCATGCAGAAAAAAAAGGAGAAGACTGGGAGAGATGGGAACACCCCAAGATGTATGAATTATTGGGCTGGGGTGGTAACAGACTTCTCCATTTTGACCAGCCAATACAGTCAAGCAGCCTTCCAAAAGAGAAAATGTATGAGAGTGGAAGATGCTGCAAAACATCGAGCTATAAAGAGCTATTAAG